CGATCCCGGGAGAGTCGGCCCGGCGCGGGTCTGCCGCTGCAAGGCTGTGCTCGCCTTGTCTCCCTCGTCCTCCCTCCCCTGCCTAGAGAAAGCACTGGTTAGGTGCCCTTAGCCGCTGCAAGGATATTTGAGGAAATTCACACGACACTGCTGCGTGATATAAAAGCAGCATCTCTCGGCTGGAATGCTGAGCAGAGCAGGATCCAGAGGCTGCCCTGAGCTCCCGCACGGGTAGAAGGCTCAGAGAAAAACAGCTATTGATTTTATACGCTTTGCTCCTAGCTAATGAGGGCAGATACCGTGCAATACGGAAAGATCGGATATACAGGCGAGTTTTCTCCGCTCCCCACCACCACCCCCACCACCCCAGAGCCTGCTTCCTTGGGAACTGGCTTCTCCTCCTGCACTTCACAAGCCCTGGGAGGTGAGGAGTGATCCTCCAGAAGGGCCGGCACACTGGGAGCTGTTAAGTTTATGTTTGTGGCGCCTGAGCTCAAACAGTCATTCAGTGGCTTGCTCTGTTATCAAGAAAACAACAATCAGGAACAATCAGTAAACAGGATCTCTTTCCAGCCCCTTTATTAACTACTTACAGCTCCGCTAAAGCACGCAAAGCGCCCAGCAGCAGCATCTCTCACCGTGAAACGCTTTCGGCGTTTCGGGTGTGTAGAGAGGGCCAGGCAGGATCAGGGCCCGTGAAATCCGCTCGGCACCAGGACCCTGACCCTTCCCCGGCTCCGTCACGGGCGCTGTGCTGCGGCTGGGGATGCTGCGGCCTGAGGTCTGGCATCACCTGAAGGCTCCCTATTCCCTCCCTGGCCTCCGTTCTTAAGTAACCCAACGTGAATTTGTTAATACATGTATGCATACAGATGTATATAAATGCAAACACTTACTGTTGACGTGTTTAACTGATCTCAACTCTGGAATTCACGTACCCGGCTTCTGCGTCACACCGCCACGTTGGCTGGGGATGCTGAGAGCTAATTAACCTGGGTACAAATATTGAAATGAGAAGAATATTGATCTCAGTGTGTGCAAACGAAGTCCTCAGAGAAATTATAGCGGGCTCATCTGACACTATTAAAAGTAGCTGCAGCAAGAACTGAGCCGGCGGATCAGGGATTGCTAATCGCCACCCTCGGTCCAGACCGGAAAGAGGAATCAGAGAAACCTGACAGAGCACCATAAGGACATGCATTTCACGAAGAGGATCTTTTCTCTCGCTTACACGAATCCTGCTGCCCAAGCTCAGGAAGTGCTCTGCCGAAGGCACTAGGAGGATCGGCTCGAAAGTTTGTCTTTATGCTCTTCAAGGTGGAAAACACTCCGGAGTTGTGGGGCCTCACAAATGTATGTAATGAAAAATGGAATCAACGGCCATAAATGGAAAAAACCCCCAAAAAACTAACAAAACAAACCTCTGAAATCAGACGAGTTTTGTTTAACCAAAGTTTCGAGGGTGGAGGTTCCGGGCTGACCGCGGATGTGGGGGCCACAGCGGCCGTGGGGAAGCAGAGACCCCGGAGTGGCCGCCGCAGGAGCGACCCGATCCTTCCTACCACGGACAGGACTGGGGGGCTCAGGCCCTCTGCGGGGGCGCTGACAGGAGCCTGGCGGTGGGTGTGCGTGCAGGCACATCCCTGGCTGTGGGTGTGTGAGCAGGCACATCCCTGGCCCTGGGTGTGCGTGCAGGCACATCCCTGGAGGTGTGTGTGTGTGCAGGCACATCCCTGGCAGTGGGTGTGTGTGCAGGCACATCCTTGGCGGTGGGTGAGTGTGCAGGCACATCCCTGGCAGTGGGTGTGTGCGCAGGCACATCCCGAGTGGGCTCCCGGCCCGCAGCTGCAGAGCCGCGGCAGCGCTCCGGCTCCAAAGTCGCGCTGCTGCCCTGTGTGTTTGTTCCAAGGTGCAAGACACTGTGCTGGCAGCCCGAGGGCCAATCCCTGCCTGCTGGCGGGCGGCTTATCTCGACGGCTGCCCAGCCGCCCCGAGGGCGCGCCGGGACCACGGGGAGCCTGGCCGGGCTGGGGGGCCTTTCCCTCGCAGGGACCGGCAGCCCCAAGTCCCCCTCCGGCGTGGCCCTCGGAGCCGAAAGGCATCCGGCCGCCCCAAGGCCCTCCCCGGGTGGGGGCAGAGGGGCTGGTCTGGGCAGCCCCCGGCGAGCAGGCTGCTCCCTCTCGGGGTCACCTTGCCCTGCGTGACCCCGCGTGTCCCCCGCTGCTGCCACTCGTCAGCCTCCCGGCGGGAAGAGGCGAGCGCCAAGGGCCCCAGGTTGCCCTGCCCTCGCAGGTTTCCAGCGCCAGTCACAGACCCTCCAGAGTCGGAGACTCCGTCTCCAAACTCACCCAAGTGAGAGCGACTCCAAGAACTCACAGGTCAGACCACCGGGCAGAAATGATACCCCTTCTCCCTCCCGCCCCCCGAAGCGCCGTACCAATCCTCTGATCCTGCATGAAAACACAAGTGTTACTGATCACACAGTTTAAGGTAGATTTCATATTTATTTAAATATTTATCAAGTACTCAAAAATGTATTACACTTGAGCATACAAAATGAATCCAGTTTCTAATCAGGATGATTGAAATCCTTGTATTAGATTTTAACATTTTTTAATGTTCTCTGTACTGTCGAAATGGTTTGTCTATAGCTGAGCTTACTCAGAGTGGGCTGAGATGGTGAGGAGGGAAGGAAAAGAAGGTTATGTTAAGAAAACATTGCGGTTTGGAGTAACTGACATGCAAACCAACTTGTCTTTGTCAGACTGAAAATCTCTGTATGTTCCAGTCCTTAAGGGTGTTTTAAAGTGAACCTTTGTCTTGTGCTGCCCGCGAGCACTAGGGAGCACTTGGATTGGAGCAAAAACAACCCTTTCCCATTTTTTTAATTTACTTCTTTCTACTTTTTCCCAAAAAATCGCCCACATTTCTAGCTTTCACCACCCTCTCCCCCGCAAATTAAAAAAGGAAGAAAAGAGGGAGTGAAGAGAGGGAAGTCGACAGAAAATAAGGAACATATTCGTGCAATTTCACAGCAATATCCCCGACAGAAATATCCCCACAACTATTCCTCCTGCAGCATTATTTAATTGTTTTGACAGCAGACATTGATAAATAATGGTCATACTTGACTTGTTAAGCAAAAAGCGTCCCTTTTATCAGGAGCTTATACTTAAAGTACAGGTCACTTCAACAATCTCAACAACGAGGCTTTGGTATACAGCACTTTCTTTTTATTATTTTTAAAAATAGCAGAACTCAGCAAAAAGCCTGAGCTCTCAGTTCTTTAGATGTCTTAACGTTATGTCTGATCATGCCTAGAGTAATATCACTTTTAAGGGCAAGGGATGGGGTGGGGGAACAAGAGACTTTCTAACGTTATCGATTGAAAGCTAAGGCATCCAACTAGCCCTGATACAGTTGTTGAAACGGAAATTTACAAGCTGGTCGTTAATACTTGCAATAAAATATCACACTCCTTTTATTCACTAATGACCGGCTTTGCATGCAATATTTTATTTCAGGTATTTTAGCTGCTAACCTGTAAATATTTAAAAGAGGGAACTTTGTTCATTATTTAATGTTAATATTATTATTATTATTATTATTATTTCTATTCCAAACGCTTATCTAGTGAAATAGTCCTGAAGATATAATAATTCTACATATGGCGCTTTTATTTCACATCATATTTAAGGAAAGAAAAAGGACAAAAACACATAGAGTTAGACATATAATTCAAAGACCACGGTACAACCTTTTCTTTTTTTTTTTTCTTTTTTCTTTTTTACTTCAGCAAACAAAAAAAATAGTCAACTGACATGAAAAGTGGCAAGTTTTCCGATAATAAATAATAAATTACTTTATAATTTTGCAATGCAAGAGCAAACAAAAGGAGTGATTTTTTTTTTTTTTACTTGTCCTATTTTCTTTTTTTACTTTTTTTCCTATTTTTTTTTTCTAGAGAGTGAGAGATAAAGAGAAAGGAAAGAGAGAAAAACAGTCGTTATAACCAATGACTATACACATCTCTGGGGGAGGGGAAGGTTCTTGGGCGGACACATTTCAAACACAATCCCGAGACGCTTTGTGGCAAAATAGAGGTATACCTTGTTGCAATGTTTTTATAAATTCGCCTTTAAAGAGGAATTCAAAAACCTATTTTTAATCGCATCACACTTAATAGGGGGTGGATCTCAACCAAACAAAATCAAAACCCCGCTACAGGCATGCTAGAAGAGACCCAGGATAAACCCCTTGTTAAGAGTCAACTAAAAACAACATTGCAAACCAATGCAGCTCCACCTTCCTGCAAGGAATCTTTCAGCAATGCAGGGCTGAATCGTCTCTTTCCTGATGATGGAAAACCTACTGGAGCTTCTTTTGGCAAGGCTATCCCCAATATAGAAACAGCACCATTCGGAATGGGAGGGACCGGATAGAAACTCCCTCTACCTTGGTTTCTCCCTAAGATGTGCAGTCAAATGAAAAGATTTCCTTTTTTTTTTTTTTTTTTTTGAGATCCACGAGTACAAATCCATTATATTTGGAAAATGTCTTTTTGATACTTCTCTGACAATTGAAAAGCACGGGGTTTGTGGTTCTTTTAAGTATTTTTTTTTCTAGTAAGATCCCATGATTGTCTTCACAGTGTTGCTACCATATTACCTTGTCTTTTCAAATATGACTCCGTTCATCTCATGGAGCAGTTCCTTGCTAGGTTCCTTACAGGGTTGTTAAGTATTCTTTCCCCCTAAATTTCGAAGTCCCAACACGTTCACTTTCCCACTCTCTTCAACAGGGTTGAGGGTAAGGGCAGAAACAACAACAACAGATATTTGAATGAATGTTCCTCATGCCTCAATAGGACTGGCTACCATGCTGTTGGGTGTATCTGGCAGCTGAGAGGACATTGATGCTACTTCACTTCCAGTAGAATTGGAACCAGGTCCTCCTTCTGAAAAATTAACCTGCCAAAAAGAAAAAAAAAAAAAANAAAAAAAAAAAAAAACGTTCTTTTCAGTCCCACTAAGGAGGCAAAACTGGAAAGGATCCCTGGGTCATCAAGTCTAGCTTCCTGTTATTGCAAACAAAACAGAGTGGATTACATCCCTTTTAGAAACCCTCCAGAAAAAAAAAAAAAAAAAAAAAAAAAAAAAAAAAAAAGGAAAAAAAGAGAGAAAAAGGGGGGGAAAAGAAGAAAAATAAGAAAAAGAACTGTTGCTACAACTGTAAAACTCAAAGAAAAGTAGCACGCAAAGAAGAACACAAAAATAAATATACAAGGCATGCAGCCAATAGGCCTGATACATCTGCACAGGAGGCTGTGTCACTGCTGGTTGCTCTGTTTAGCTTCCCCATTGACTTCACAGGAACCTTCTTCAGGCCTTTGGCCAAATCACCAAGAAAAAGTATATTAAAAAAAATGGAAAAAAGAAGACTGAAAAAATCAAGTAAATAAGCAAACAAACTTATTAATGAGGCCTCCTTCCCTGCCTTGCAAGAGTGACAATCCCGAGAGGATGTTCTAGTAAATTATGTAGGAGTGCATGTGTTTTCTTGACATGAAACTGAAAGATTACTATTTTCCCCTTTTGTGCACATACCAAAATAAACCTGGAAGGAGCATCCAGGAGCAGAAGGCATTTGAAATCAGCCATTCGCTTTCATTCCTGATTCGAGGCTGGTGCTATCTCTTCTTAATGAGAGTCTGTTTGATAAAAAAGGTCACACTATTCCATCTTAATGTGCCCCGCTGCTCCTGTTAGTTTAGGAGTAGTGCTGGGAAAAGGCATGACTTGAAGGGTGAAGCTTTGTTAATCCAGAAGCATTTATTTGGCACCTATTTAGCTGGCCAATTCTGTGATTAAGGCCCTTTCCAGATTAGAGCCGTGTCTTGAACGGCCAATGAATGGTCTGTTCCTTCCACTATTCTTTAATTTAGCTCTTTTCAGTATCACATATTATGTTGAATGTATATCAATATTAATTTGTCAATCTAATGGTCTATTTACTTATATATGTATGTGTATTTGGACTATCCATCTTCCATCCTGCCTTTTTTTATTCCCTTTTTTGAACAATTTAATACAAAACCTCACTGCATCAAAGATTTTTAAAGTCTTGTATTTTGTTAAGGCACAGTAAGTAAAGCAACCAGAGGAGATAATTTTTTCTCTCGTCTGATGGACAGCTTGATTAAAGCAGGAAAAGCAGTGGTTGCTTTAGATGTAAGAGGATGCAAATAGCCCTGCTGCTGTGCTACAGTTTCCTGAGCAAGCATAGTGTGCCAGCGAGGGGAACGCACTGCAGATTGCTGTTGGGCAAAAGAAAAGGGATTCTGCAGGAGAGCATGATACTAAACCGAAAAGGTCTGAACACAGTGCTAATTCAACTACAAACCTTTGTCTTCCATCACTTGGTGTAAAAAAAAAAAGCCCAACAGATCAAAAAAATATTTGCATGTTAATTTTTCATAATTTTTCATTTTATTCTGAATCCCTGAAATACTATACACAATGTACCTTTTTATTTTAAATATCTGATTTTAAGAGACTTAGGCCAGGAAACTGACTTAAGACTGAACTTCTCTCCTTAACTCACCTTGTTGTGCCTAAGTGTTGTTGGTGATATGGTCCCATATGGACTGCCAAGTGACATAGGCATAAGGAAGTGAGTTAAGGACGGCATTTCTTCTAAAAGGTCTATTTTGATCTGGCTTAAGGTAGTTTATTAGATGACTCAAATTTTTCTCCTAAATATGCACTAGCAATTTCCTCTCCAAAGAACAAACACTTAATGTAAGCTATATATGTGTACAGATTAATGTGTATATATGGATACATAAAGTTATATCTAGAAGTACATGCTTAAGACACAGACTTTGATATTCTAATTAAGAGGTCATATTTGTCTGACAAAACAAGGGCCGTGGCTGACACTAATCATGTATTTAAAATTCATCCTACAGCATAAAGGCAAAATCAGTCTGAAGTGGGAGGGGTGAATTCTAGAAACTGCTTTCACAGATATAAGTACAATTAAGTGACATATAAAGAATGCTTCGGTGAAGTGCTTTCAGTTTTCAGGAGCGTGCAAGCTATTATGATAATGAAGGCCTGACCTGAGTCCGGCCTTATCCAAACTCACACTCAACTAAGAAATATCTCTGCTGTACACTAAGATCGATTTTGCACCAACCTCTGTGAAATCAATTCAGTTCTCTGCTTTTCAGATGCAGTCGTGCACGCCTTGCAATTTCTGGAAAACCCATTAATCTGGATTTCTTGTCTCTCTGAGAGCATCTGGCACCTGGAGTGAATCGCCCATTGCTCTGACCCGGGTACCGGCTGGCTCGGGCGGGGAACCGACACTTACTAGTTGCTGAAAAGCAGGTTGGTCTATGTCACTCTGCAATGCGAAGTCACTCAGTACTTTCCAGGGCGGCTGGTAACTCTGCACCTCCACGGGGTTCGCCTGCAAACCGCCGTCATGTCTCTCCGGACTAGCAGCCACCATTGGAGTTCCTGTCATCCCTTGGATATTCTGTAAACAGCCCGGCAAAAGATGTTAATGAGCTTGGTTAGCTTTATTGTGTATAAACGCTGAGTCAATAAACTGCTTTCTATCTTATCTATACGGTCGCTTGTATTTGCTTTGTTAATCTGCTGTGAATGTCTTACTCTATTCTACTCTGCGTCAACCCGTTTCTACTCGCTGCATTTATCACGGTGGAAGTTTACTTTCTTTCCCTTTAATCCTCCTATTCGTCTCAAGGCATATCCCCTCCGCCCCAAGCTCTCTTGAACATGAGCACTCGGTATCTCGACTGCCAATGGACGTCTCAGAACGAGAAACGGCTAATCCCGCTCCCCTCTGTAGTTCGCGTCCAGTCTGGCTTTGTTTTGCGTGACCTTAGCTGGATCGTATATCCAGTGCACAGCAAACCTGGGGCACGTCATTAGCGCGCTCTTTCCAAAAAAAAAAAAAAAAAAAAAAAAAAAAAAAAGAAAGCCCCCCCCAGCCCTCTCAGTATGCCCTGTGGTGCAGGCACAGTGGACAACATAACTCCAAGCCTCCACAATTGTTCAGGCGAGCTAATAACACCGTGTTTTATTGCATTCCAACAGGGTAAAATGAAACTCCTTAAATTCCACTTAATTAGGCAGCCTTATGAATTAATAGTCATTCTCGGGTCAGTCAATATACACAAGGAGAGTAACAGACTCTTCTTCAAGTAGACTTACAACAACAATAAAAAAGGAACAAATTTGGCGTAAAATAGAAACAGATAACTTGTTCTGATAAACCCAGTGCATGCCGCTTGTTTATATCACCCATGCATACATCTGCAGAAAAGAGCTCTACATAGATATAAGTATATATAAATTAACCTGTAAACACTATGGTAATTCCCAAAAATTTGCATTGCCTTTGTCTTTTTCTGCAGTAAGTGCACTGACCGATACACACACTTTGTAGGATGCAAAGTGCTAAAAAAAACCCTCTTATTTTATTTTTACCTTTTATTTTTAACTATTTTTATTTATGGATTTACTCCTGCTTAAAAACACTGAAGAGGTCAAAGGCGTCATTTTCTCGCTAAGAAGCCCTTTGCATGTGCAGTATAAATGTTAGACGAGACTAGGTTTATTACATCCCATAAGCTCTGCAGGTCTCATTCATGCTGCAGAGAAGTTAGTCTAAGCTACTGCGTATTGTTAGCCCCACAAATTCTTAGTACGCCTAAGCAGCCTAAGTCGGCTCCTCGCTGTGGTCTGTTTCTATTGCACTGACAGCAGAAACTAACGGGTGATGGCTAAGTAGTATCGTTTTCTTTGTTTTCAGGGAGATCGCAAAAAACTAAGCTTTTCTCCTTGGGAATTAAGGCAGACACGGACAGAGGCTGAAGCCACTTACAGTTTTGTCATTGGGTTGCTGCTGCTGAAGTTGCTTCATCATAATGCTCCTTTTTTTGTCCTTGCATCGCTTGTTTTGAAACCAAACCCTGATGACCCTTGGGCTGAGGCCAGTCATTTCTACCAGCTGCTCTTTCATGAGGGCGTCAGGTCTGGGGTTGGCAGCGTAGCAGGTCCTCAAGGTGTGAAGCTGTTTTTCATTCAGGACAGTCCGGACTCGGGTTGTCTTCTCGGGCTGCTTATGGACGTGGGGCCGCAGAGCTGGCTGTCTGGCAGAGATAGGTTCTGCTGTAAGGGAAGGGGAAGGGAGGAACAGGATCCCCATGAGTAGGAAGCAGGGAGTCTGCAGAGACTATGAATCTAAGCTGGTGGGACAGGGGAAGGTGGCGGGCGGGGGGGCGGGTGATGAACCCTCTTTCAAAGGCCACTCAAGCACTCAGATCTATCGGAGCTGCTGCAGCCTCCTCTGCTTTATGCACTGCTGGAGTGACTGACATTTCTGACTCCACAGACAATTAATTTGCAAAAACAAACTACCCCCCTAAAACCCCTAATGACAGAAGCTTGAACCTGTATGAAACTTGACAGGGGAGGGCAAGTTAGCTAAGGTGTATGTGCGCTAGGAAAGGAGCAGAAGGGTTTTATGTATTTACTTCCCGACAAATCACCAAAACAGAATTTTGGCCCTAAAATTAGTGAAAGACTACTTCTTAACTTAATCATAATTCGGGTCTGCTTCTTGTATAGTGAACCTAGCTCATTTTAGCCAGAAGCAGTGATAACGTACAACAGCTCCTGGCAGTTTGACTCTTCCAAACCAGAGCAAAACAGGCCAAATCCTCTTCACCATGCTAATGGAAAAAAAGCCCTGGGAGAGCTCCGTATCTCAAAGCCCGGGAGATGAGATTTATCTTAAAAAGTGGAGGTGATAGGTGCATTTGCTTATACTTTGGATGAATAATTAAAAAATATCTATCTAGTGCTTTTAAAAGGAGAGCATGCCTACCAAGTCGCAGAAACTGCCAAGAAATGCAAAACTACAGATGGCATCACATCAAGAGCTCTAAGGGTTCCTGTTGTTCTGCAATTCTTCTGTGCGTTGTGTAGCTGTAGCTATTATGTGTAATCTGACCCAGTCGAGGGAAAAATAAAAACAGTATTTGTTTTGTTTTGGTTTTTTTCCTCAAACTGTTTAGCTAACAGTCAGAAGTGCTCGCTTTTGTGCAGTCGGGTTCCGACTTTTCTAATTGTAACAATACATCAGTAAATGCGATGACGACAATATGAAGGCTTCAAATCTTATCAGTATTGTACCTGCCGACACACTAAGCCTTTCAGAGACATGGCACAAACACGATATAGGAAGCACAGTCTCAGAATTCTGTTCGGACCAGTTACGGGAGTATTTCTCCGTATATATAGATTTGTCACCTGAAAGCAGCTCAGAAGAGGGAAATGAGGCCGTTTTAGAATAGCTGTATTTACAAATAACTTTCCGAGTCACAGTCACTTGCATAGCAAAAAGGCTGGCCAAGCTTGTATTGTCCAGCCTAGTCAACCTCAGAGAAGTATCCCTTCCTAAAGCTAAGGGTCTCTGAGTGCCTGACGTACCCGTCGAGAACTAGAAGTGTGAATGAAGTTGTAAGGTGGGCGACTCTGAAGTTACAAGGCTGAGTTTTGAGATGAAATTCTCATCAAATTACATGAAACGTTTCAAGAAGGCAAGAGTCACTTTAAAAGGCAATCACCGAAGATTAGCTTGTTGACAGTTTTAAATTACAGCCTAAGCGCCAGCCTGTAGTTATGAAGTCTATCTCTTTTCAGACCCTACTTCCTCCAGCGCCCAGAACAGCTCCTCCGCTCGCTCCTGAGGCAGCGGAGGGCTCTGAAAGCTCAGACCTGCTCTCCGCAGCGGTTCGTCCCTCTCCGGCTCAGGCTCAGGGCTGCCCCGGGCAGT